GTTCACGTCCTTCACAATGACAATGTCGCCGACTTCAGCTTCAGGTTGTGGGTAAGTCCACTTCCGTCGGACTTGCAGGTTCTGAAGACATTCCTTCTTCCACCGATTCCTGAACCCCAGAACTTTATGAGATGCTGCACTCTTGGCTTGAAGAGCTGTGAAACGACGAAGTGCTTGAATGAATGAATCGTAGTCAAGCTCTAGATGACTATCTTTCTTGATTTGACGCCTTTTCTTTCTTTCAAGCAGACTCTGGTTCTTCTGGAGAGATTTCAGGATCTGAATTTCATCTTCAGAGGCTTTCTTCTGATCGTGCTTTAGAATTTCAATCTCTGCTAGATGAAGATCCTGCACAGTAACACCCCTTTTGGTTGTTGGGTAGTCACTTGCTTTCTTATCACGCCTGTCTTTACAATGTACTCTATTAGCGGCGTCAGTTAATCTCATGTAGGCACATTGACCATACCCTGTTGTACTTGCATCTGCGAAGTGATGATACTGTACCGACATCACGGCCTCGAATTCAGCAGGCTTGTAACATCTAGGGATAGAGAGTGATTGAAGTTCCAGTATGTCTATTCTCCATTTCTTCCATCTTTCTCGCAGAACATCTGGAAGCAGATCATCCCAGTCTGCTGTCAGCTTACACAATGTCTGGAGAATCTGCTTCCCTATAAGCATAACTGATGCCAAAAGTCCTAAGGGGTCATAAATAGACATGACTGTGGAAAGTATCCCTCGCCTGGTTAGGGGCTTGTCCTGAAGTGTGATTATGAAGTTGAATGCATCGGATTTGACACACCCTTGTACCCCAAGAGCTCGCTCTAGAGGTAAATCATCATGATGCAGGTTAATCTCTCTGACATTTTTTACCCTGTCTTCCTCTGCAACAGTCTTCAGTACATCTCTTGAATTGACAACTTGTGATAATTCTGCTCCTTCATCCTTTCTATCAAAGAAATCAACTGCCATCAAGCTCGTCACTCTTGCAGGGTGATCTCCTCCTGTACTGATGTGTTATGTGCGAACAACACATCCTTGTTTACTGTCCTTAGCTCAGCAGGAATCTCACAGGCTGTCAATCGATGACTTACACCGACGGGATCATCCTCATAAGCATACTTGTGTTCATCTTCCTTCACAGTACCCAGGATGCTCCATCCAAGGTCCGTCCTTAGACCATACGGACCATTATCATCAGCAGGAGGGATGACATCTCTTTGTATGAGTGCCCTTGCACAGTCGTATCCAATCAATAAACCAACTTCACAACTTTGCAGGGGCATGAGATGATGTAAAATCTTGGATAAGTGAGGGATTCTCATTGCCATCTCTGGAGTGGGTATGTGATCATGGTTTGCTGGTATAAACCCTCTGGTGTAGGTTGTCGGGAGAGCAATCAGTTGTTCTCCATCAAATGATCGGATGGTCAGACCCTCTATGCGTTCACTTGGTACTCTTTCATCCATAGCAGACATCGTTGAAAGAAGGAGACTGACAGGAACTCCCTGCAGATTCATCTCATCCTTGGTTTTCTCTAACATGAAAGTGGTGTCAGATTGGGTGTCTATTAATGCATACACCATTCGTTCATCTGATATGGTAGGATGAGATAACCAAACAGGAACTATCATCGTGCTCTTCCTGGTGGTCAATCTACTAGTATCGGTAGGTTGCTGACTAAATGAAGCATGAGACCATGACGTCTGAGTTTCCATGGGTCTGTCTTCTACATTTGTCTCCGTCTTTGGTTCTGGTTTCTTCCTATCTTCATGGAGACAAGATGGATGTCTCCCTTGACAAATGATACAGGTACTTCTCCATCTACAATTCATGGACATGTGGCCTGCCTTCAAGCATCCATAGCATAGACCCTTCTATCTTATGTACCTTTTACGATCTGGCATGTACTTTGCTGCAAATTCACTGCATTCTTCTAGGAGGTTATCCTTCTTACACAGGTAGCAGGAGCGTTGAATATTTCTCCTCTCCTTCTGTCTCTTGTTGTCTGAATTGGAAGATGTAACATTGGTGTTGAGAGTTCTAACATCTGGTACAGGCTTCAGGTGGTGTAGAGATGTGATTGGATAACATACTATCTTAGCCTCTTCATCTATGAACCTCACAAATTCTTAAAAGGGAGGAAACTGTCCTTTCATCTCTGTCCATCCAATGACCTTACGTGACCATCTCACCACAAGCCAGTCTGGCAATTTGGCTAAGAGCTTCTGATTCTCCCTCTCATCGTTTAGGTGGTGTAGATTTCCAATCCTATCCATTGCAGTGACACATTGGTGGAGAAAATCAGCTAGCTTTCTTAGACCAAGTGCATCTTTCGAAGAAATCTTAGGCCATCTGTCTAGCTTGTCTCTGAAAGCATTTGCTATAATGAAAGAGTCTCCATACCTCTGCTTAAGAGCTGCCAGTGCTTCTAGATAAGCTCTCTCATCTCCAATGAGTGCATATCCTCTCACAAGTTCCAAGGGCTGGTCTTTGAGATACTTCTGCAAGTAGAAGAAACGATACATAGGCTGTATACCGCTTTGTTCAATGAGAACATCAAATGCATGCTTCCATGCTGGGTAAGTCAATGGATCTCCTGCAAAGATTGCTGGTTCTGGTAAAGGAAGCCTCGTCATCCTCATCTGTTCAACCAGAAATCTCATCGTCTCAGCTTGAACGTTCTGCACACTGTCTAACTTGGGTTGAATAACTTGACTTACTGCTTCAACTTCTTCCTGGATGTCATTTACCTGGATGTCGTTCACCCAGTCCTGGCAATCCTGTAGCTCCTGCGGTTCAACAGGATGTGACTTCTTCGACTTCTTAGATGAAGTTCGAGATGAGGGTCTAAGGGCTATCAATACATCAAGAGTCTGTTTCATGATGTTGTTGTGTGCTGTTTCAACCTCATCTAGCTTGTCATCACTGTTGTCTTCAATTTTCGCAGTTGCTCTAAGTGTAGCCAACTCTTCTTGGGTGTTTATCAGTTTGTCTACAGTACTTTGTAGAGCATCTCTGGTCTCCTGTACTGTCGACGCTTCGCTTTCATCACCAAGTAAAACTCGCAACTTGTTTGCGGTTCTATTCCAGGACTTAATGCAGCTGTCATACTCTTTGGATTTAATTTCCACTTGCCATTGTAGTCCTTTCTCTGTGGGCTTGGGTTCACGATGGGGTCTACTTTCACCTTCAGTGTCAGCCAAAAAACTCTGTAAAACTCTGTATTTGCTTGGTCTACATTCGCATCGTCCGAACATGTCTCAGTTTCTGGATTACAGCTCATACAGGGCTCTGATGTACAACATTGAAAAAAAAAGGTTATCTTGTACTGCATATAAACTAAATACAATTCTAACTGTTTGTTACTACCAGTACATGTATGCTTAATTGAATTAAGTCAGACTTCTGACATACATCCTTTGTATCACTTCTGTTCATAATTATAGCATGTATCTTTATAACTAAACCATCTATTAATTATCCATATAAACTTGTATAAATCATATAACAACTTTCTCTTATTATGCACCCCAAGTATCTCTGTACATTAACTCAAACTAGGCAAATCTTTGTTTACATTCTTGCATACGTGTACCTTTCATTCGCATGCCGTAGTGTACATTACATAACAATAACATTCGGTATGTGAGCCGACCGTCTCGGCTACTGTGCAATGTAAGTTACATCCATGTAATGTACACAACGAGTTAGGTGCGAATGAAAGGTACTTTAATCATAGAATATCGCATCATTACAGCATTTATATACAACATTGATCACATTGCATCATTACATACCTTCATTCTGCCTTCTTAAAGTGCATCTAACTTCCATATTACACAAGGATGCCTCCAATATCAACGGATTTCATCCACTGGAAACCAAAAAGGGTGCCATTTCTTTACACGAAATTAGTAGCCTCCAGATGGCGCTAAACATAAATATAATCAATCTACTTGATCGACTTAATAAAATGAATTCATATCGATCACTGAAACACCTTGAAATACAAGAATAAAATTTGTGGATAGGCCAAATACAATCACGAAATTGCATGTATGGTTTGCAGCTTTTCATTGAAGTTTCATTGATTATGAATAAGTTTACGTTCACATACCGTGTGTATGTATTTGAGTGGTAGGACCCCCTTCCGTTGCTTCAGCTGTGGCTGGTGTCACGGCATCCGTGTCCGTTTGTGTTGCCACTGTTTCCTGGCTGCTAGATATACTATCCGTAATTCCGGGTGTGCTTTCTTTAAATGTTGACGAGAGCATGTTAGTCGTCTCCACTGTTTTCTCTCCAGCTGTCGTCAAAATTACATTTGTAACATCTGTTGAAGCTTCAGTTGCTGTTATACGTGAAGTCAGTGCATTTTCAGCAGATGTTATCATCACATCAGTCGGAGTACTCGAAGGAACATATGTTGAAAGACTACTCTCTTCTTGATACGTCGTAGTCTGCATTGTATGTTTAGGCGTGGGATTGCTTGTTTCTGCGTAGGTTACCATTGAAGATGATGGCATATCTTTGGTAGATGTCAAGTGATAAAGAGTGGGTGTGACATCTCCAGTCGTAGCATCCATTGTTGAAGCCTAATCGATAGTCATGGCTGTAGTCGGCATTGTAGGTGGCTCTGTAGCGATATATTCAGCTGTCGTCCAGGCTGCTGAAGCAGTGCCACCATCTGTAGTCGATTGATAAGTATTCACTTGTTTCGCTGTTGTCCTGGAGAAAATCATTTCCGATGTTTTATCATGTGTGGTAGTCTCCTTTTCTGTCGTTGACGACATATCGTCTGCAGTTGGTGTGATCCCATTTGTTGTCAGACCACTTGTTGTTCTGGACGTAATGTCCTCTGTCGATCTTTCATCCGCTGTTGTCATCACGCTTGGTGAAGAAACACCATCTTCTGTCTCCAAGTAATTTTCAATGGTTTTCCAAGCCGATGTTTTAATTTGAGTCGTTCTCTTTTCAGTCAGTCCATCTTCTGGGGTAATTTAGTTCATTGCTTTCATCGTCGTACCAACATCCGTCGAACCCTCTGTTAGCTGTATTGCTATTGAATATCCTTTATTTGAATCCGTCTTCAGATCTGTTATTATGGATGATGTCTCCTGATTTGCTCCTGCTGAAGTAACTTCAATAGAAGCTGTTCGACCTTCAGGCATGGTAGCGCTGTGAGATGTTACTAAATCACTATCCGTCACCTCGTCAGTGACTGCACTCACTGTTTCATGAGTAGAAAACAAACCCCCTTCTGTTGGTGCTACTGTTGACGGATGAAAGAATGCTGATGTTGATAATTCTTCTGCAGTTTGGGTGTCTTGGGAGGTACTGAGAGCATGAGAGTTCATTCTAGAAATGGACGTAAATGTGGAAGATGTCTTCAAAACATCTTTCGTTGTTTCTGTGATGTCACTCGTTGTCGGATCATCACTTCGTGCCATCGTGTTCGCTGAATCTGTTTGGAAGGGTTCATCAGTAAGATAGTTGGTGCTATATGCTCCGGTAGTATATGTTACGGGTCTTCTCACAGTTGTTAGTAAATCATTTACTGTTGTTTCAACTGAGTACACTGTGGTAAGAGGAATCCACTCAGTCAACGTCTCGGATGTTGCTTCATTTCTAAGCTTAGTTGTTCTTGTCATACGGGCTTCTGTCTCTTCTATAGTAGCATGGAACTGTGTCACATTGGTGGGAGCTGAGGTTGCACCGATACTGTCCTGTGTAGATCCTTCAGTTGTTTGGGAAGTTCCCGAATTAGAGATTGGATCCACAGTAGTAGATAAAGCTTCAGTGTCAGACAAACTTGTTGCAAGGACCTCGGTTGTAAGAATACTTGTATCGGATTCAGTTGGTGCGTTCGAAGTTGTTATATCCGATGAATCAGAGGGACCAGTCATTGAAACAAGAGTAGTTTGTGATATTGAATCAGATCGGGAGGCAACATATGTTGTTTCAGGTCTCCCAATGCCAACAGTATTGGTTCGGCTCGGTGTCTGTGGAAATGAGGTTAATGGAGTAGAATTTGCTATAGTCGGTTCTATTTTATGTGTCGTTACATCTTCTTTTGTGTTGGTCAGTGTTACTTCTGTTATTGTTGACGAGAACATGTCAGTCGTCTCCACTGTTTTCTCTCTTGCTGTCGTCAAAACTTCATTTGTAAAATCTGTCGTAGATTCAAATGCCGTTACAAGCGAAGTCAGTTCATTTTCTGTAAACAGTTCATCAGGAGATGTCGTCATCAAATCAGTCGGAATACTCGAAGGACCATCGGTTGAAAGACGAATCGTCTCTTGGTAAGTCGTAGTTTGCACTTTATTTGTACTGACACTGTCCTTTGTAGATCTTTCAGTTGTTTGGGAAGTTTCTAAATTAGAGATTGAAACTAAAGTAGTAGATAAAGCTTCAGTGTCAGATAAACTTGTTGCAAGGAACTCGGTTGTAAGAATATTTGTATCGGATTCAGTTGGTGCGTTCGAAGTTGTGATATCCAATGATTCAGAGGAACCATTCATTGAAGCAAAGGTAGTTTGTGATATTGAATCAGTTGCTTCAGGTGTCCCAATGGTAACAGTATTGGTTTGGCTCGGCGTCTGTGGAAATGAGGTTAATGGAGTCGAAGTTTCTATAGTCGGATCTATGTTATGTGTCGTTATCTCTTCTTCTGTGTTGGCCGTTGTTAATTCTGTTATCGTGTAGAGTCTCTCCGTACCCAAAGTGGGTCCTGATGTTGAAGATGAAAAAGTACCCGTATATACTTCATCACTAGTAGTTAATGAATCAGTACTCTTTCCAGTTCGCGTGGTAGCCGATTGTTCCTCATATGTTGTCTCTAGTGGAATTGGTGATTTAGTCATTAATCTAGTTGGCTCACTAGCATCGGATGACGTGAAGGTCCCATCTGTATGCAACAGTGTTGGGGACACACTACTGATTAATGTTGAGACTTCTTTCGTAGGTTGCAGATCCGTCGTGGGGTTCGGATCTGTCGCTGTTGTACTATCTGTACTGCTGTATGAAATTCGTGTGTTTGGAATTGATGTTTGGTCGTCACTCGTTGCAATAGAACTTGTAAGCAAATTAGATATTCCCTTGTCTGTCGCTCTAGTTGTATAGTCTGTTCGCACCGAAGTATCTGTACGAACTGTTTCATATGTTTTAACATCGTCCACAGTACTAAGCGTTACAGTGGAAGCAGTATAGCCTATAATGTCAATAGTCTAAAAATCATTGCCGTAAGTGCTTAAGGACTCGGTTAACTTGGAATCCTCTGTAGCCGTTGACTAGTTGTAGCTTGGCTGGCTGATATATGTGTTGTCATGGCTGATAAAGATATTTCTGATACTGTCTGCAGTGGTGTCGTGGTATCGTGTGGTTCTAGGGTACATGTTGACGTTGTGAATGCTGAGGTGGACATTGCTGAAATGAAAGGTGTTTCACTTTGAACATCCGTGTTCTGTGTCAGTTGCGTCATACTTGTAGTTTCAGCGATCGGTGTCGTCTGACGAAGCGTTTCCTTTACATCAGCGGTTGATGTCGTTTGTAATTCTATTTGATGTGGAAAGGGGGAATAATTATATTAGAATGCATATATTCCAGTTTGAAAAATACACATTTACACATTTCAAGGAATATCTTATCCTCGTTTTTTTCGAGCCTGTCATTTTCTTTAATGCATTTTATTGTCCATATATCAGACGTTCATTCGTTACAAAGAGTTTCGTATCTCAATAAATAATTCTGCAATATCACCGGTTTAACAATACAAGACTTCTCTGATTTCATTTTACATATATATTTTCTTAATTTACATCTACCAACCAAAATTATTTTGCATATAAAAGAAATGATAATACCGATGCAGATTGTTTCTCCTTCAGGCACCCAAGCTCCATTATCGCATATCAGCTGCGTAGGTCCATCAATGATGTAGTCCTCCTCTCCGCATGATAGACTGAAGGTTGTACTGTCAGGGTACCAGACATTCTCCAAGGGTTCATTTGAAGATTCGAATACGATGCCCTCAAGAAGATCGGGAACCTCACATGGTTCTGTAACGTAACGTGGATTCTATTTATTACATTCCTGGGGAGTGTTTCACAAAGACTAAGATCGAGTTTAAGTTGAACTAAACTAGGGCAGGCCATTTATTCTACTGTTTGCTTTCACCATTGGTATCTCAATTATGATCTTAATATACTATTTTTTCCTTCAATAATGAATGATCAAAAATTGTAAATTCTGTAGTTATGTGACCCCGATTTGTACTTCCCTTGAGAAACCAATGCCAGTAATTGATGAGAGAAAACAGTGGCATGAATGGCCTACCATAGTTAAGTCCGACTTAAAGTCGATCTTAGTCTTTGTGAAACACTCACCTGGTCCATTTAATTTCCTGGCCAAATATATAATTATAGGCAATGACCTTTCACTTATATTCAATGTACTAGGACTGCGTATCACGCAATTAATCTTCATCTTAAATGAAATCATTTTCAGCCCATAGAAGCAACATATGTCACATTATGGAATAAAAAAGATGCCTTTCAGTTGACGATATGTGTTACTGTTACAAAAGATCGAGGCAAAGACTCTAGACATAAGACAACGATTTCTGTTCACTAACCAGAGACGAGAACCGATGCACCATCGAGAGTAAAGCGGGAAGACAGTCCATCGATGGTTGCACTTTGACCTAGGATGCGATCCGTCTCGGCACTGACCTCTTCAAGGGTACCGACAACTGATGATTTTTCGATAAAGACGTCTGCGTACACGTCTAATCCACTCGTACCAGGGTCTGAGAAGGAGACTATCTTTGAAAGTAGGTAACCATCCAACATTGTGAAGATGCTCTCTATCTGGTGGGCAAATAGGTGATGATATAATGGAGAGAAAGAGAGAAAGGGGTCAGTCTAGTCATAAGTTTGACTTGTTTTGTCGGCCCTAGGCACTGTTATGCTAGGAGTCCACTGGGCCAGCGCCAGTTGGTGCCAGTTTGCGCCAATGCAATTTACTGTGTCGCCTAGTGTCGCCAATAAGGTGCCTAGTGGCGTGTAGTGGCTCAAACTGCCTCCCAACTGGCTCGTGGTGGCCCATAACGGCACCAAATTTGAATGTGGCGGCAAGAAAATTTCAAAATGTTTGAAATTTTCGTCGCGCCATTTGCATCGAGCAATCAGCGCCAAGTGTCCGCCAAGTGGCACCAAATGGCGCGAACATATACCCCTTTGGCGCAAATAATCTGCTTATTGGAATCCACTGGAATGTAATGGCGCGCGCCAGGTTGCGCCAATGAGATTTCGCGCCATATGGCGCCACTTGGCAGTGGCCACCTCAGCATCTCTCATCATCTTCTGATGGAGCAGCATCATCACTCCAACATTATCAATAGCCTCAGACATATCAAAATTGTAAATATTTAGTAGAGATGTTGTTCATACAGCAGCTGAGGAGGGTCTGAACCAGGTAGCCGATGGCCGGTATTTATATAGTCAGCAAGTAGCGCCAAGCGGCGGCAAGTTCAAACCAATTTGGCGACCTTTGGCACAAACAAATCACCAAGTGGCGCGAAGTAGCCGTCTATTGGCGCGAATGGCGCCAACAGGGTGAATTTTGAATTTTGAATTTTGGCAGTGTAATGGCGCAAACTGGCGCAACATTTTGGAGCAAGCCGGGTGGCATTTTGCGCACGCCATATGGCACCCAGTTTATTCCACTTGGCGACACATGCCGAGCAGGCATTAATTCGGCGCCACAGCGAGCCACTACGCGCCAATCACATAATCTTTGGCGCGAACTGGCACCAACTGGCGCTGGCCCAGTGGACTCCTAGCATTAAATGTCGTACGTTTAATGTCACATGTAAATTTTATCTATTTTTCTCTGTGAATTATGCATGTAAACAGAACGAATTTCCTTTTGGACCAATACAATTTGAATTACATATTTGAATTTGGTAGGGCACCGACTTATTGGTGAAGGCCCTTGGCTCTGACAAACGATCCTCGGTTCGTTACTTAGTCACCAATTGGACAGAGTGCTTAACCCAAATCTGTCTCTCCATCTGGATCAAGGTATAGATAATGAAAACTAGCAATGCTTGGGTAAATGCTAAATGCAGGCCCCATTAGTAAGAGTATACTGGTGAAGCCGCTATGGGAAGTAAAATGGGAAGTAACACGATGGGAAGTTATACAATTTTGTTGTAAATACTTATGTTTTTTGTATTTGTTTGTTTATTCATCTGTTTATTTATCTAACTATTTATGTATTGATCATTGGTATTATTATGGTCGTCGTCATCATCATTGTATTATCCTGTCAAATCATGCAGTAGTCTAATTGCAAAAAAAAGTGTATTCGAGGTAAACATCTGCTTATGGTCGTTGATTTGGATAGATATTGTTAGTTGTGATGTCTTGCTTTATTCATACCAATTATACTATTATCTAAAATTAAATGATACTAATACACTTTCTTTGTTCATAGCAATATGTATCGCTATATTTATACGTGTTATCATTTTATCTAGAATTATATTATACTAATAAACTTACCGCATGAACGAGCTCTGTATCCATCTCGATAAAGGTTTGTGACTCTTCATCTGCATAGTCGGACTTGTAGGTTGCCGGGGAGCCGTAAATATGGGTGATTTGAAATTTTAATTCAAACGGATTCACATCTAATGAGGAGGGAAACAAACTCTAGACTAAATTTGTCATTGCTTGGTTTCTGGCAATACGTTTTGCTTCAAGATAATTACTGACGCAGTCTGAAATGAAACAACCATTATTACTTAATCCAAATTAAACTTGGCAGCTGATATACGGTTGGTTTATTAAACAGGCTATACGTCATGGATCATCTAAATGAAAATTTTACTTAAAAACTTAACATAAAATCAATTACTCTCTTAGGCATAATTATCCGGATGGTAATCGTTAAAAATAAACGGTTTAGCGCAAACAAGTTGCTAGACGTATCAGTATACATAAATACGTCTGCCACACTAACCAGACCGGTACACAAAACAAAAACCTTTTTACCTAGAATTGTAATTATCCTGCCGGTTATTTTGCCAGTTCGGAATCGTTTTGGCGGTGTCAAATGGAATGGCAAAAAGAGAAGCATCCGAAACCCAAAAGCCATACCATATAGTAATATTACCTTATTAGAAGTTCTGGTTTTGTAAGTTTTGAGATAGTGCATTGATATACCAGCTCACATCTTTGATGTAGGTATATATGTGCGATACAATTATGATTTTCAACACTTATGCATTTTGTGTTCCGAACTTGTCTTTTTCTATATTTTGCCCAGCTACCTAATGAGAAGTCCTCACCTTCACACGTCGGTACCTGTTGAGGATTCCACTCGCCGTCATAGCATGACACCAAGGAAGGACCATAGAGCAATTCTTTCTCTGATTTACAGATGAAATCTATAACTGCATTATGGCTGTATAACTCGTCCACGTTTTGACCCTCTACAGTGTGTCTCTAAAAAAAGTAAACCCAACTTCAACGGCAAATTTTCAGAAAACTATAAAATATTTACACATTATTTTTTATGGTTAGATAGTCCAATAAGTCCTCTGTCCAATGATACCACGTAGGTTATGTAACTCTCATGCATGACTGAGCATGATTCAACTTAGTGAATGGGTGTGAAATCATCACTGTGGCAAGTTAGAATTGCACTGGAAGTTCATCAATCAAATGACATAGGAAATGTCTGATTTCTTACAAGCATAGCTTAGGGATGTGTACCCTCGACATGACCGCCATTCCTTTCCATGCAAAGCTCGCAACGCCTCCTCATGTCCCTGACAGCACGCCTGATCATTCCCTGATCTTGTCGTAATCGGTTCACTTCACCTGTTATATGTTGCCTCAGCTCCTGAATTGTGGCCGGTGGGGTTTGGAACACTTTTCCTTTAAGATACCCCCAAAGAAAGAAATCGCATGGTGTCAGATCTGGTGAACGTGCAGGCCACTCAACTGGGAAATGAAGAGCAATGATGCGATTGCCAAAGAATTCAGTCAAACGATTCCTCACAGCAATAAGTCTGTGGGCTGGGGCCCCATCCTGAGCCCACCAGGCCCTGCGGAATGCTCCACGTCGTTGTCGGGGGAAGATCTGTTCCATCTCAGGCACAATAAAATTGTTCAGCATGTCAAGGTACGCCCTGCCATTGATGTTGCCTTCAAAAAAGTAAGGTCCCACCAATGAACCATTGCCACAAAGACCAATCCAGACACTCACTTTCTCCCTGCTCATGTTCTTATTAAAAGCATATCCCGGTGGATGATGGAGTTCAGCATACTCGTGCTCATTGTGGGTGTTTACCATTCCATCCATGGAAAACGTTGCTTCATCCCCGATGGTAAAAAACTGGAGGAACTGTCGATCTCGGTTGCACCGGTTCACAAACCATTGTGAAAATTGAAGTCGTCTGGGAAAATCAGCTGGTAGAAGTTGGTGCTGAACATGAACATGATATGGATGGAGATGCAAATCCAGTCTTGCTATTCTGTTAAAAGTTGCGCGTGGTATTCCAGTATCATTTCTCCTGGTGCTTATGCGTGGGTTGGCTTGGATGGCCTCTCTTACCACTTGGATGTTTTCAGCAGACCTCCCAGTTCGTCTGTGGCCAGAGTGTCCTTTATTCCTGTTCAAACTGGTTCCGTGATCAGCATACTTTCTCACATTGTACCAGATGGCTCTTTTTGTTGGAGGCTGCCTCTCGGGGAACTGCACCCGAAAAGCATCTTGAACTTCCACGAAACTTCTTGTTTCCTGGTATCGAGTTACCAGGAATACTCTCTGCTCAATTGTCAACTGTACCATGTTTGGAAAGCATGTGAAGTGTGCCTGTGTTAGGAACAACCTTTGCTGAAGTTGTTATGTAATCATAGGCCTAACATGTGACAAAGATTTAACTTCAAATAGGCCCTGAATGCATGACAATAGCAAGAAATAACTTGCCACAGTGATGATTTGACACCAGTTCACTAAGTTGAATCATGCTCAGTCATGCATGAGCGTCAGATAACCTAAGTGATATAATTGGACAGAGGACTTATTGGACTATCTAACCATGAAAAAATAATGTGTAAATATTTTATAGTTTTCTGAAAATTTGCCGTTGAAGTTGGGGTTACTTTTTTTAGAGACACACTGTAGAGTGATGTATTCCACGTTTGGACTAGCCAATGGGGCGTTGCATGGTCCTGAAATAGGTATAGAAGAAGAGCTATATACATTAGACCGCCCTGCAAGGTCACTGGACAGGTGGTTATCTCACCAACTCAGCTCTCAGTCACATAAGAAAAAGAGGATCATGGGGGATCAATGGTCACCGATTAGGCATTGTTTAATATGGAGAGGGCGCAGGTAGCTACAAGTAGGACAGTGTGGCTTTAAAATGTTTGTACCTTCATTGCACCTTTGTTATTGTCATTGTTGGGTCGGGGCAATCTACTCATATTGGCCCTTCCACAACTCAGAATTATTTAGATAAATAAAGAACAATCAAGATGATTTGGTTACCTTTGATCCGTTTATTGCTCTCAACTCGAGCCACATCTTGGAATTAGCATATCAATCACCATCTCATTTGCATATTCGTAACATATCTCCCCCCATAAAAGAAAGTTCCTATCAGTAGTTAGAACTTTCTTCTGAACAATAGTAAGATCTAAAGGCGAGAAATTAACCAATCAAAAGGTATGTAACAAGCTGGCATGAACATCATTTTTCTAATATCGAAGACAGACCGATTAGTCCTTTCATTTCAACATTCAAAAACAAAACACAAACTGCAGAAAAATGAAAACAACTTCGATAGATAACATTATACATGTAAGTTCTCTTCCTGAATCCTGGAAGTAAGTACCAGGACATTAATCAGATACAATGCCTGTGTTTTGTAAAGAACCACAAACTGTGGTGGTCGAAACATGTCTCTACACATCATACATAATGAATATATGAATACATGAATATATGAGCTAATGAGCACGCGCGATAAATGAAACACTGAATATTCAGCACAGGCGCCGATATCCTAAATGCGCACAACTACAATAACAGGTGATTGCATATTCATATAATGAACGCGCACAACCTAGTCACGTGACGCGTTGCTATGACGACACCTCATTACTATGTCGGAATGCATGCAGAGTCTCATTAAATATGTCGGTCAACAAAAGCAATATGTTATAATGATCCGCATAACTGTGCACAGCTCGATTGGAAATATTTCTGACATTAAATGTAAGAATAAGGGTACATACATGTACATATTTTGTGTACATATTACATGAGTAACATAATCTGTTGAGTTACTGCTGCAAGCTATAAATTGAAACTTGTTTAAATACAAACAAATAAGCAAGACTTATCAAGTTAAATCACAAACACATACATATGCAATACTGGCAGTCAATAATCTTTGAAATCTGTGAAACAACATTACGCAAGTTGTGATGCTACACTTTTGTTATGTTTTCAATTGGTTTTACACCTGTAATTTTGATAACAGTTGCCTTTTATGCAAATTATTATCATAATTATTTTGTTGTTGTATAAAATGGAAAATGCATCAAGCTTTGCATAGCATAGATAACAGTGCTGCGTATAAACAATAACTGTTCTCTTTTGATAAAAAGAAAACTATTCTGAATAACGTACAAACAGAATCAAGAAAAGACATGAAATTATTATTCATGTAGGCACAGGTAAGAAAACAATGACAAATAGTGCACATTTTGCACAAAATATAGTTCACTGTCCCTACTGACGTCTCCCTGTAAATAGGTGAAATGTTCATACATGATCATTTATATCACTGTTCAAAATTATTGAACTGTTTGATCCATCAGTTCACAGCATGTAAGTACATGTACAAATACAACGCAATATATCATGTGTAGATTCCTTATGACGAATAAAGACAAAATATTAAAGTTCTAGTTTCTTCACAATTTGTCAAATGTTCAGTAGGCTTGCTTAAGCTCTAGAAAGTGTATCTGCGATTATATTGTCCTTTCCTTTGATATGAGTTACTTTCAGTCCATAAGGCTGGAGATCATGCTCCGCTGACACAGTCTCTGATTTTCATTTCTGAAGCGCTCAAGAAGAGTCAATGGATTATGATCTGTGAATATAGTCACCACTGAAGAGTTGCTCAGGTACCCGTCGAAGCGCTGAACTGGCAAGACGAGACCAAGGCACTCCTCTATAGTAGAACATCTTCGCTGGTGGGGGTTGAGCTTCTTGGAAAAGTAGCTAATGGGTTCCAGGAGACCCATGTCATCCATCTGTAGGAGAACAGCATCAACTCCTACATCACTGGCGTCAGCGGCAAGCTGAAAAGGCTTCTGGAAGTTTGGAGCATCCAGTACTGGTTTTGACATCAGCACACCACATTTTGTGGAGTAGCATTGTGACACCTTTTTAGCTTCTCCTGCTGGTAGAGCAACATCATTCAACTTCTTCAAGTCCTCTGCTGCTTTCTGAGCCTCAATCAAGGCAGGCTGACTGAAGATAGTCTTAGCATGACTCTGGTCAT